GAGGTGGGGGCGGGGGCAGCGTGTCCTCGGACTTTCGCTATTGTGCACCGCCCGGAGTGTCGCGGGGGCTCCTGGCGACTGGAAGCGGCCGGGGTCCGACCTTCCAGGGCTCGCAGACGCTTTCCTCACCGCCTTACAGTTGCCCCGGGGGAAGGAAGTGCGGGGGGCTAGGATGCTCTGGAGGGGCAGAGTTGGAGGGGCTGAAGTCCCGGGGGCCGTTTGTGGGCTCTTTCTCCCGCCATCCCGGGCTGCTAGCGGGCCCGGGTCTGCGTCGCCGCAGCCGCCCCTTTGGCGCCTTCCCCAAGTGCTTGGTGGCCGGCGACTCGCGCCCTCCCGACAAAGAACGCGTGGGCCGCCCGGTCCTCTCTCTGCTCTTTAAATGCGGCGGCGCCGCCGAGGTGTCCCGGGGAAGGGGCTACCGGAGAGTCTGGGTCCGCAAGGGACGGGATTAGCTCGTTTGGCCAAGGGCGCGAAGGAAAGTAATGTCCGAGAGGGTGCACCGTAGCTGGGGTCACTTCCTCGCCCGGCTCCCGGTCTCCCTTTTGCCCCTAGATCCCGCGCCTCAGAGCTTCAGACATTAAATGTGTTACTACAGGGCGATTGGCTGGGGGGTTGGGAGGGGAAGATCGAGGGGCGCCCGGGACCCCGCGGAGTGGAGGGTTTTGTCTGCGGATGCAACCAATTAAGCGTGCAGCCGGCGCTTGCAAGGCTGCGCGCAGCGCCCAGGGCGGGGGGGTTTTGTTCGCTGCAATTTCCCAGCCTTGGCGGGCAGGGCTGGAGCGGGACATGTCCATTGAGAACATTTAAACTTCGCTTCCGCGGGCTTTTAAAACTTCTTCATTCCGTAGCCTTAAAGAGCTTCCTTCATGGCAAGTAGGCTGGTTAGAAAATTATCCCAGTGTCCCAAAGCCGCCCGAGAGAGAGCACGGTGGCGGTATCGAACAATGTTTGCTTGCCAGCGCGTTTTAGGAAAACGGAGAGGGTTGTACCTTTTTGAAATCATCAAAGGAAACAAGCCCATCTAGAGGACCCCGAGTTTTCCCGCTCTGCCCAAGCGACACTTTATACCGCGTTCGGACCCTGTTTTACAC